TTTTCCTGCTGACAGTGATGTTCGGCATGTCCTGTGCTTGTTTATCATCAGCATACGTTCTGTGGTGAAGTGATGGTGTGGGTCTTTAACCCACTTTAAAAATTGGGCTATGTCTCTCATTGTTGGGCTTTGAGAGTTCATCCCATGTTTGGGTCAAGCTCTTTATCCGATAACATGACCTGTAAGTATCTGGTTTTTTTTTTGGTTGTGCCAGCGATTGAGCTCAGGACATTGTACTTGCCACACAGGCGCTTATACCACTGAGCTATCTCCCTGGTCCAATATCTCCTTTCTATGACAAGAGAATCTTTTCACTCTCTGAATATTGCCTTTCAAAAATCAAATAGTCTCGAGTTTAATGAGGTCCAATTTATTAGTTTGGTCTTGTGTGGATCAGACTTTTGTGTTTGAGAAACTTGACCTCCCTAAAGTCACAGGGATTTTCTGTTACGTTTTTTTCCGTAAATTTTATAGTTTGGTAGTTGGGGTTCTATGTAGGATGTTACTATCCATTTTGAGTTTTTTTAAGTGGTACCGAGGATTGAATCCAGGGCGTTTGCCCTAGGTCGCTTCTCCAGCCCTTTATATAATTTTTACCTTTTGGGCAGGGTCTTGCTGAGTTGCTCAGGCTGGGCTCCACCTCATATCCTCCTGCCTCAGCTTGCCAGAACGTCGGGACTGCGGGCGTGCCCCACTGTGCCAGGCTTTGGATTCATGTTTTATAAGTGGTCCCGTGTGGTTGTTGTCATCCAAGGGTGTTTTTCTTCTTGGTGCTCCTTCTTCTCATGTATGTGAGATGGCAGTTGTTCCCTGCCATCGATTCTAAGCCTGTCGCTCCTGCATCTGACTGTTGTCAGTGGTCAGCTTGCCGTGTTTGTGTGGCTCAGTCCGTGGACTCCCCGCTCTGGGCTGTGTGTGGGTCTCTGTGACTCTCCTTGTACTGGTGCTGCCCTGGCCACTGCAGCTTCCTCGTCAATCTGGAAGTCGGGCAGAGGTGACACCTTGCCTTCTGAGCATGGGCCTGCTGTCCTCACACTTCAGGAGGAATGCAACTGCAGCCAGGGTGGGTGTCTTGCTGACCGCTGTGCTTTTGGAACCCATGAGCTGCTCAGCTTGGATCTGGCCCCCGTCTTCGATGTCCTATGCTTGCATTACGGCCCTGGGAATCTGGTTTGGGTTTCATTCTCAACTCTAATTTTGTTGGCTGTGTAGCCCTGGGAAAGTGACTCTGCTCCTCTGTGTCTCAGATTCCCTGTTTGCAAAGCCATGCAATGGCAGTAGCTGCCTTGTAGATTATGGTAGAGGTGGGGTGAATCCGTGTGTCACATGGAAACAGGAAGCTGCTGGTGTTTGAACTTCCACAGTCAGCAGAAATGGCACTGTATGTAGTGCCTAGCGATCAGATGTTCCTCACAGCACTGGTTAGAGGGCACGTGGGCTAGAAATGCCAGCAGCGGCTGTCACCGTCCCCATCCCTGCCATCACTGCTCGTGCCACTTTGTTGCTGTGGCATGGTGATCGCTGAAGCTGGTGGCTCTTGAGGCTGCTGTGGCGTGTTCCTGTGCCTCTGCGCGGGCAGCCCGTGTGCATCAGGTTCTTCCCGAGGGACAGGCTTCCTGCCGAACTCCACAGCGAGTAAGCAGACCCAGGCTGCAGCGCTGTGGCACAGACACATTGCACAGCCCTCGGGCGTGGCAAGTGTGGTGGGAGCCACACTGAGGGCAGGACAGACACGGGGCATGAGGTGGGCCTCGGAGGCTGTGCTGGGTGGGGGGTGAACGTGCCAGGCTCGGGTTGCAGTCTGTGCAGAGACTTGGAAGGGGAAAGGGACACGTTCAGGGGGAGGCTGGGGCTTGATCCTGGGTGGAGCGCAGGAAACCACCCAGGCAACCAGGAATGGCCCACGAGGAACCCATCCTTTCCTCCACAGGTGCTGCCAGTTTGCCAGACCCCTTCGAGACCCGTGCGAAGAACCCCTCCTATCCTGCCTCTGCCATGGCCACCAGTTCCATTATCATAGACCAAGGGTCTGGCTTTCTGAAGGTGGGCCTGTCGGGCTGGAATCAGCCCCATGTACTCTGTCCCAGCATCGTGAACTATATCCCCTGCCAGGAGAACCCGGGCCCCAGCTCTGCCCGTAGACAGGTGAGCATGGGCATCGACCCCTACAACCCCGACACCTTCAGCCGCCCCATCCAGCGCGGCCGCGTCATCAACTGGGAAGGGGTGGAGCACATGTGGAGCTTCGCGCTGCAGCGCTTCAAGGAGCACCGTGGTAACTGTCCTGTGATACTCAACGATTCTCTGCTGAAGGAGCCTGAGGACCGCAGGAAGACCCTAGAGGTGAGGCCTTTGGCGGTGGGGGCGGCCGGCAGGTGTCATGTGTCTGTCCTGCTTGGGCACCGCTCTTCAGATAACTGGCTTTTAGGTTGGGTGTTCACAGAGGGCCTATTGTAAGGCTGGCCTGCTGCTGGACTCCTGGGGGCAGAGGGAGTTCAGACACTCGGTAGAAAGGGGAGTTGCTGGATGCATGTTCATAGGTTCCATGCGAGGCACAGGCTACGCCTTGGCCCTCCCAGGATTTGCATTCAGGGGCAGACTTGTGAAGAAGTTGACAGACGAGTGCTGCAGGGAATGAGTAGTTCTAGAGACAATGGAGGCGGGGTGATAGCTGACTGTGGAGGGGCTGAGCCGGGAAGGCTTCTGGGAGGAGATAATTTCAGCCAGTGATGCTGAAGCCCAGTGACTTGGGGGCTGAGGTGGCCAGAGGCAAGTACTGAGGTGAGGCTGGGCCTCCCAGGCCTGCTAGACTACAGAGCGCACCTGAATTGTCCTCTGAACTGATAGTCGGCAAGCCAGCCAAATCCAGACCCCCACCACCACCACCACTTATTTCTGCAAATAAAGTTCTGTTGGGATACAGCCACTCCCAGTCATTTACACGTAGCTGTGACCACTTCCCCATTTGAACAGCGGAATTGAATGGCCAGGGAGACTCTGTGGTTCATCATATCTAAAGTATTTACTGTTGAGGGTTTTCTCAAATTAGATTTGAATGTTGGACAAATAACAGATAATGTTTTCGTATGCGTTTGTGCCAGAGGGTACTTGGGGCATGCACATACTCAGATACTTGTTCCTCTGAAATTCAAACTCAGCTGGGCCTGCTGTAGATAGCGGCTCAATGGCTTTGTAGCCTGTGAAGGAAAATACGTGACAATCCCACCCTGTGGGAGCAGAGCCCTCAGAGGGTGGTCAGCGGGGATTTTCTGTGTACACAAGGTGACCTGACCTGCTGTTTGGTCATGGATGTTGTGGAGGGTAATGAGGAGCCAGGGATGGAGGGAGCCTTCCTGCTGCAGCGAACGTGGGGCTGCTAGACCGGAAGCGGAAGAAGCAGCCAGGAATGTAGATGATGCTGTAGTCTCACCATGGCTGTGGGGTTCAGAGTGTGGGGTACTCCTGGAGTTGGGCTGGGGATCCACAGGGAAAAAGAGTGAAGAAGAAAACGGATCCAGGGACCTTGCCAACCCCTGCATATCCAAATTCTAGTTTTGTTGTGACATCTGGCAGGTTTTATTAAGAGAGGTAGGTACAGCTTCTCCTATCAGGCCACAAGGGTATTTGTTTTCTCTCCTTCTCCCTCCACCGTTTGCCCCCACAGTGGCTGTACGGCACCTTTCCCTTGTCCTCCCCACTGAGCCTCTTTTGCTTTCAGACAGGGTCTCACTAAATGACCCAGGCTGGATTCAAAATTGTGGTGCTCCTGCCTCAGCCTCGCTGAGGGCCAGGATGACAGGCATGCACTGCCACACCTGGCTCACTTGCTTCTTGTCTGTGTTCTTCTTCCTTCTTCTGGAGAGGCCATGGCGGGCTGCGCATCTGACCTGGCCTTCTCTCCACTTCCTCTCACCGCTGGCCCGCATGGCCCTGAGACCCGGCTCTGTTTCCCGTACCTGCTGGGTCTTCCCACCACACGAACTCAGTCTTCCCAAAGATAGTTACCAACTGGGCTCTTGAGGGCGCCTTCTGCTCCTGTTCCGATCCTCTAGAGCCCCTCCCTGGTTCCCACAGCGTGTGTACCCAGGATCCTGAGCCCGGCACCCTGGGGGAGCCCGAGCGTCCCCTGAGAACGCAGCTGTGCACTTCTTCAGATTGAAGCAGGGTCCACGTCTAAATCACGGGGAAGCGGTAATGGCTGGGAGTCTGGGTCGGGGGAAAATACACTGAGTGTCTTCCCATTGCAGATCATGTTTGAGCTCCAGCAAGTGCCGGCTCTGCTTCTGGCGGACGAGCTGGAGATGTCCCTGTACTCCACGGGGCTCCTAACTGGCGTGGTGGTTGACTCGGGGTATGGCCTGACCCGCATACAGCCCTTCTTCCTGGGCCAGTCCCTGTCCAACAGCAGGAGGACCATGGAGCTCGCCGGCCAGGACCTCTCCACCTACCTCTTCAAAAACCTCTTTAAAGAAAAATGTGACGAGCACAACCTTTACCAGATGGAGACGGTGGCCCGGACGCAGACGACCAAGTGCTACGTGCCGAAGAATCTGCAGGAGGCGCTCAACTTCCACCAGAGCCTGCCCAACAGCCCTGACAAGGGGAATAACTTCCAGCTCCCAGATGGCACCCCGGTGGAGCTGCCGCCTCTGGCGCGGCTGGCGCCCGAAATGTTCTTCAACCCTCAGGTGTTTGGGCAGCAGGGCCCCGGTCTCCCCCAGGTCCTGGTGGAGTCCATCAAGTCCTGTGAGGTCCCCAGGCAGCTAGTGCTCCTGTCCCACGTGGTGCCCTGTGGGGGGAACAGCCTGTACCCTGGCCTCACCAGGCGCCTGTCTGAGGAGCTGAACTCTGGCCACTTCCCCTACAAGGCCACTGTGTGGGTGGGAGAGCACAGGCGCTTCAGTGTGTGGCTGGGCGCCTCCGTGGTGGCCCACTTTTCTAGCTACAAGTCCCAGTGGCTGCGCAGGCAAGAGTATCTGGAGAGCATGAGGCTGTGAGGGGCTAGCTGGCTGGCTCCCAGGCACAGGCTGCTGTCACCGGAGCTTGGGTTTCATTTTAGTCATGGGGTAGGGTGCTCATGATGGAGTTAGGGGGGATGGTTTTAGGTTCTAAGGTTTTATCTTGTGCCGAGAGTGGGAGCCAACCCAAGGGAGGACCAGTGTCATCCTTGGAATCCCTGCTTAGTTGGTGCTTCCAGGGGTGTCGCTGAGGTGAGTGTGGTTGCCTGTCACCTCCCTGTCTGACAACCCTTTTAGCTTTCACAGTCGCCTTCCTTGGGCTGTCTAGTCTTTGGTCAGTCAGGTTTTAGTTGGGGGAGAGAGCAGGACCTTTTTCTGGAGTCCCGATTTTTTTTTGACTAGGAGTTTGGGGTGGGGTGGGGTTTACAGTTAAAGTTTCTAATCCTGTGTGGCCCCTTTCGTGGCCAGGGAAACCCTTTCAAGGGACCGGAGTGCCTTCCTACCCACGTGGGCCTTGTTTTATGTGTGCAAATAAAAGTTCTCGTTTTGAAGCAGTCTCGGCTCCTGTGGTAGCCCACGCAGGGTGACAACCCCTGGAGAGGACCAGGGGTGCAAGTGTCAGGGAGCCTGGTGGCCATCCGGGCACAGAGGTCGTCACCAAACACAACACACAAGGGTCTGTCTGCATGTTTTTCTGCCGCCATGTTCCCTTCCTTCCTCCTAGATGTTCAGCCAAGCTTGATTTCCTGTGAAGTCGGCATATATTGGGCCAATAGTTAATATAGCTGTGTATCAGGGACTGGGCTAGGCAGTGGGGACTTGGTGATGAAAAAGATATTAGGAGGTTTCTCTCTGCAAGAGGACAGTTCCCTGTGGTCTGCAGAATGACATAAATACAGTCATCCTTCAAAATCCTGGGAATGGGGTCTTGGATCCCTGTGACTGCCAAAATCTAAGGTGCTCAAGTACCTTCATATAAAACGGCAACTCCTACCTCCTCCTGCCTCTTTGCCTTGCTCTTCCTGTGTCTTTTAAGTATTCTCTAGATCACTTCCGATACCTAAAACGACGTGAATGTCTGTAAATAGCTGTGCATTGTTTAGGGAATAACAACAAAGAAAAGAGCCTGTACGTGTTCAGCACAGAAGTGGTTTCTGAAAAGTTGGTTTGAGTCTGCAGATGGGACCCTGGGGATACAGAGGCTGGCAGCGTGGCTCAGACAGGGAGAGAGCGCAAGAGCGTGGAATGAGGTGCCGGGGTCTGGGGCGAGGATAGCTGTTTCCCACACTGGGCTAGGGGAAGAGGGGGATCCTGGGTCATGAGTAATAGAGTCTTCTCCTTCCCTGGCATGTGCTGAGACTATGCTTCTGAGGCCCTGGCCGTTAGGAAGAGTGTGTTGGTGAGCTCTGGCCAACCCCACGTGGCCCAGACCCTTAGCCTCACAGCTGGTCTGTAGGCTGCAGAAGGCCTGGTGGGGCTCAGAAGGCCTGGGGATGATACCGCTGCTGATGGAAGGAGCCTGAATAGCTGGGTGGGCCAGATGTCCTCTGACCCTGCTAACCACCACGAATCCACCACATTGGGCCACTGAGGGTGGGGGTCTGTTTGTTACAGCAGCTTCTTGGCTTACCCTGACTAATAAAAAGAGGAGCCGTCCCCATTTACCAGTATTCTGCTATAAAGTGGCAGGATGAAAGGTCAAACCCAGGGACCTGGAGCCAGGCTTGAGCTGCGGGATGGCTCTGTCCCCAGCTGAGCTGCCTGGCCAGGAACTCAGGTTACAGCAGGGAGGGACCCTTCCTTCCTCCAGTGGCTTAGACTGGATCCTGTGCCAGGAGGAGGCAGAGAGACCTCGCTATGCTGACCTGGAAGTGCCCCTGAGATAGGAAGGGTGGCTTCAGATTTTACGTGACATCCCTGTGCTGCTAATCAGAACTGTTAATAACAAGCGCCACTATGTCACCCTTTCAGACATTGCAGGGAGAGCTCTACAAATACAGTCCTATTTAGTCTTGACACAAACACTGAAAGGAGGGGTATCTGTCCCCATCTGTAAATAAGGAAGCCAAGCCTTAGAGGTGGATGTTGAACACTTAAAAGTTCCCAGTTCAGCTCAACCTAATCATGCATTGTAAGGATGGAATTCAGCATTCCCAGAAACCTAGACCAAAAGTGGCCGACACAAATAAAGATTTGTCTCCTAACAGGTAAACAGCGCAGGGTAACAACGTATCTGCATCATTGATTCTTTCTGCCTTCTAGTTTTTCTACTTTTAGCACACAGGTGTAGTGGGGTATGGTCACAAAAAGGCTGTGGTGTCTCCAGGTATCACACTTAAATTCCCTGAAGGAAAATGAAGGGTGGAGGGAGTGTGGTCTCCGTGGCTCTGTGTATATTAGGAAAGCCTTACCCTGAAGACTGCTGTTTATATCGCATTACTTACAGCTAGCTGAAAGAAGAGATATGTAGGTATTTGTGGAGCTAATCCACAGTGTATTTCTTGGCAGGGGAGAGGTTTGAACTTAGTTCCACTAGTGCTGTTTTCTTCATGGAGCCGGGCAGCCGTCCCAGCCTTCTGGGCCCTGGCAGAGCCTCCAGGCCTGAGAGGTGTGGACGTGTGGTTTTTCTGCGCTTGAGTGCAGGTTGCCTTCGGGAGGCGCAGTCCAGGCACCGGCCTCCTGAGCAGGGCTCACTCTGCTTGAGATGTGGTGTGTTTGTGCAGCCTGAGCCTAAAAGGTGGAAGAGGGGGATTTGGAAAGGATCTGTGGGAGAGGGGGCCGGGAGGAGAGACGGACAGGGGTGTTTTCCTTCCCTCCTTAGCTCTGGGTGGCTGTCATCTCAACACATGCTCATTTTATTCCAAACGTAACATTTAACCTTTCCTTTTGAGCATCTAATCTGACTGCCTGGTGTATAATTATGAACTTTGCTTTGCTTTCTCCCCCACTCCCCCACCCCAAAAGCTTTTAAAACTCCCTCGCCGGGTACCATCCCTCCTCCGACTCTCCAATTAAATTAAAAATAGCAGCTTTGTGGGGCTATGCGGGGCCATCAACCTTGCGCAGAGCTACCGCACACCAGGCCTGGCAGGGTGGTGCCCGGTGCCTAGAAGACGCCTGCAGGCTCTGGTGCGGCCTGGCAGCTGCTGGGATCTGGGGAGGCTTCTGCTCCACAAGGGGTCTGGGGCTGCCTGCCAGGGTAGCCAGGTGCAGGGGGTGGGAGCCAGGGTCTTGGCAGCTGGGCAGGGGCTGGGTGGGGCTGGCAGAGAGGACAAAAGAAAAGGCCCCAGGCGAGCTGTCCCTGATCACAGGGAGGCGGCCTTGCTGGCTTCCGATGCCAATGCTGGAGCCTGGCACCCTTGCCTTGGGCTTTGTGTGAGATTGGATGCCCAAGTTCCCTGACATAACCCTGGCACAAGCCCTGGGAAGGATGCTTCTCCCTTGCCGGAAGAAATGTTCATGGTTCCGCCCACTGTCAGGGTCCCCTCCTGTTGGATAAGCAGATGGTAAATTGGCTGAGGGTTCGGACTCTGAGGCCAGACTGCCTGGAGTAGAGTGGATTCTGCTCAGGCACTTTGTACGCCAACATTCCCTGGAGCCTCAAGTTTCCCCATCTGTAACTGGGGACACTAAGGAATACTGACCGGGTTTGAGGTGGTTTTCATCATTCCTATGGGGCATTAGAAGGTTAACATTGATAGAACACATAGCAAGTGTCTGGCACCTGTGAGTCCATAGGCAGCTTCCTTTTTGACTGAGTCCTAGGTGGACATCTAGGTTTTCTGTTTATATTTGCTCAGGGCAGGTAGGCACCAGGATTGTAAAATGATAAGGTGTCGCCAAGGCAGGCACTGTGTTGTGATTGCTTTCCCTGTCTTGAGTGGTGTGGTGGAGCTGCATTTTGCACACACAGGGACCACAGGGGTGGCAAGGGAGTGCTGCCGAGAGGTGGCACTCGGGGGAATCTGCAGGGGAGTAGTGACTCATGCCAGAGGAGCAGGACTTTGTGTGCGCCAATCCTTTTGTCGCTGTCGTTGCCTTGGACAGCCTGGTAAGTAGATGGAGCACTTGGCATGGCTGGCAGATGGGGGTGGAGGAGAGTGGGGGATGATGGAGGAAGAGGCTGGTGGGGCCAGGAGGGTGGGCCTGTGTCCTGGCAGTGACGGGGCCCTTTAGAATTGTGAGCAGAGGCACCTTGTTACTTGTGAATGTGGGCGGGAGAAGAGTTCTGAAAGGGAACAGAAACCAGACACATATGCCATTAGACCCTAAGCTGAATGCAGGCTGTTGTCGGGGACCCTGCTCCTGTGACATCCGGAACAAAGAATCTGGTTCTGGCCTCCTGGCCTGCTCAAGCTGGGCTGGGTGCTCTTTGTTCATCTTTTCAGCATTACTCAGCCTGGACAGCTCCCTAGGGCTTCCTTGCTTAGGACCTGTTCCAGAGAGCCACCCGTGGTAGGAGACCCCAGGGCACTGCCTCTGGAGCCAAACAGCCAGGAGGAGTGAGAGCCTTGTATCAGTTAGTGAATATTCGTAAGGTACCTACTGTGTGCCCGGGGCTCTTTTGAAGGTTAAATTGAAGAATGTTTAGAAAGTGGCTTAGCATGGAGCGTAGCCTGTAGTAGGTGCTCCATAATTTTCTCTTCAGTCGCTACCGCAGAAGGCCCCAGAATGCAGGGCCCCAAACTCCTTCACTCTGCCGGCATAGTGTTGTTTCATTCTGTCCTTTTGATCACCACTTCTGCTGAGGAGTTCAGCTGTTCTGATGCCACCATTCGGGGGAGGCTTTGAGTTTATAGAGGTCCTAAAATTAGAGTGGGCCGGGTGTACCACTTCTCTTTAAGATTGGCCCAGACCGCTTCTGACCCACACTGTGGCTCTCCCTGTCCATCGCCTTCCCTAGGGGGAGAGAGTGGGGTACTCAGCCCCCTGAGACCAGGACAGCCCCCTGACACCGCAGGCGGCATTGAAGTGAAGCCTGCCGGGTGCAACGGAAGACACAGGGCCTGGCTACCTGTGGATTTGTTGAGGCCTCAGGG